CTGATTAGAATTTTTTTACATATTATTACGCATTTAACAACTCATATAATTATTAATTTTAATCATATATTAAATAAATGTGAAGGCTTATGAAGAACCATTAAATTTAACCATAAACTGAAATATGCGATTTCAATAATTTGTTTACTTTATTAACAAATGCTTCTTTTAATGTTTTTTTAAATATATCAGTTATAGAGTAGCGTTTTATACTAGTGATTGTGAGGTATTTTCAATCTATTAAGTTACTTTAAAAAACATATATAGATCGATTCTGCCGAAAAATATGCCAATGTTATGGCAAGGCTATGTTACGTTCTAGTTTTCATACAAAATGCTACTTAATACTGTCAGTCGTTTTACTCGTAAAATGCAACGAGACATATCTCAAAGATGCAGTTATAATAAGATCGTTTTTTTGATTGTTTTCTACGTTAGATTTTCTATCTAAAACGCCTGACTTCACAGCAACCAATAGGATTTTCTTGGTTTTTAGTACCACTTTATATGAAAACTGCTACATAACATGTAGCAGCCTTGCCATAACATTGGTCTATTATACGGTATAATCGGCCCCATAATATACTTAAAACAATTATAATTTCTGTCAGCATTCTGCGGTGAAAATATTCGCCTGATTTGCAGCTATTTTAAAATTCGTCACTTGAACGTCTTCTAATAGTGATTATAGAATATCTTCATCTTTATCTTAAAATACTTATTAAATTATTTGAACAATATATAATTAATATTTTAAAAATATTAATATTTTTCAAACAAGTATAATTTTTGTCTGCATTGTGCAGAGCAAATATTCGCCTGCTCTACAGCTGCACTTTTTTATTTCGTTACTCGTATGTCTTGTAATACTCTCATTCAGGCGTTCGTAAAACTTTTATATCTAATTTCACCTTTATAACTTCCTTACTGAATTACAAGTCGAATTCATTTTTCAGTCGTAATATTAATGATTCTAAATAAAAATCGCATTAACATTTGAATTCATACAAAATAATATGTTTTTTTTTAAATTTGTTTTGTAATGGAACTAGAATATTTTTAATTACTGAAATTTAATAATATATATATATATATATATATATATATATATATATATATACAATAGAACATCGTTAAAACGATATTGCTCTATACAAATTTCCGCATAATACGCTACTTCACGACTGCCCTTGCAGTATGAAACCTCTTACTCCAATCTCGCATAATACGCTCTCAAGACGCGATTTTGGCTCAGTCTCTTTAAAATCGTTTTAACAGGGTTTTACTATAAGCTAGGGGTGGCAGTATGGTTTATTTTCACTTTAAGCATTTATATTGTAAAAACATATCAATTACACATTACACATATCAAATAAACAGCTATCTGACTATGTTCAGGAAAGCTCCCATCATTGAAGAAATGTGTTTTTCAAGTCACCTGGTTCTTTTTGCCCCATTGGCGAAATAAAATTGGATGGCCAGGATGCGAACAGGGCTTATGTGACTTTTAATTTTAAAGGAATTTTAAGAAATAATAGTTACATTATTCAACCAATGCAAAATAAAAATTTCATGGCTAGATTTTGTACAAAGATAACATGTATATAACCTTGATCTGATATTTTGTCATAAATATTTAGCAACAGAGTTGGTATAACTATTTATTTAATTTATCTCTTATAAAATTGCTTATTTTAACTTAATTTACTTTTTTGTTCACTATTTTTTATCGGTTACACCTTTGCCAGGCCAATGGTTTAGTTTGTCCTTTTTAACTCATCTATACGTGTAAGCATTTAAAGAGGTTATATATAAAAACTATTGAATCTATCTTAAAATTAACAGTACATCTTATAATACAATTAAATAATGTATACCTAAAAATTATATTGAGATTTCGAAAGCTAAACGACATTGCTCACAACCTAAAAAATGGATAACCAAAGAAAATACTTTTGGTATGGATTTTAAACATTGCCGTTTATTTTGCAATAGAAACGTCGTAAAAATCAAGGTGATGGCTGGTTATACATATTTTTCCATCTGCTTTCAAATATTGTATTTAAAAAATCGTAACTTTACTTGTTTTTGAGATATCGCTAGTGGATTTTTTTACCCGCGGACCTTTAAGCCCCACTCTACTCTGTATATATTAACAATTTTTTAAATAAACTGGAGCATTTAAATTGATTCAATGAATTCTTTCTGCGCATAATCATATATCAGAAATATAATAACAGTAACGAATCCAAAATAATATAATTACAGCCTGTAGATAATAATAGTGCATTTTCAATAAGTCTTGGAAGGCAAGCTACAGATTATGCTGAATATTTAAAATCTGTAGGTTAAATAAGCAAGGCAAACCATCCATTTGTGATAGCTATTAAATCAAAGTCAACGGTAATCAGAAATGATTTTCCTGAACGCTGTGAGCATTTATAATGCACCCCGTTCCATTTTCAGTTTCATCAATTATTACTGTGATGTCTCACGAAACCTATGTATGCCTTTTCATGCGCCCGACCCCACTAGATATTACATTGACAATGTGTCTATTTTTCAAGGGTTTAGTCAAAGGTAAAGGTTCCAGATATTAGATTTTTTTAGATTTAATAAAGTATTTCTTTAAATTATATATGATACATTTTGAACATGATATATGAGGTAATTAAGGTAATTCACTCTTACATTATACTAAAAAATATATTACTGTACATTTAACTATATTTAATACAAAATATGGCAATTATTTGTCATAAAAATGAAAAGAAGTTAAACAATATCCTAAAATTGATCATAAATCTTTATATATTAGTTTCAGCTTTTATGCCGTTTTTAATTTGGAATTGTTTTTAAGTCATCATGTTTATATTTAAATATAAAAAACTTTATTTTGATTTGATTCAGTATAAATAGGACCAAAATTCCTATTTATAAATATCATAATATAATAATAAATTTCTATAAGACTTTAGTTTAACTTTTAGTTGAACTCATTCTCAAAAAACTAGAAATGAACTACAATTCAATATTAATTTATATGGTTTATTGATACGACAGTTAAAAAATTGATTTTGTATATTTATTCATATTTAACATTTTATATTTTTTCCTGTTCATAGATTAGTTTAATGATACTGCAAAACTGTTAGCATTTATAGAATTGTTTAATTTTATCGATGAATTGCAATAATATTGCTTTACAATATTGTAATTAAGACTGTTGCCATAACTTTTTGATAACGAGAAGATAAATTAAAAGCTCCTTTCTAAAACCTGCTGAAATAATATTTATCGAGTTATTTGTTATGATTTATAACGAATCTATGTTTTAATCGAATATCCTTTGAAATTCAGTAAGCTCATGAGAATGCATTAATTTAAACAACAAAATAAATATTTATATAGATTGAACTAGTGGTACACGGCATCGTGATTTAAGGCAAATTGCTGGAACTTCGCGTACTGAAAAATTAATATTTTTAAAAAAGCTTTAAAATTGTTCAAAAATTTAGATTTTTGAGAATTTTACAAAACAAAATGCCTTCATTTAAAAATATTGAAATTTCTTGAAAATTTTCTCATTTGCAGTCTAACTGATAAACAGTTATATAAACAGCAGATATAACTGATAAACAGTTATATAAACAGCAGATATAACTCATAAATTGGTACGACATTCATAAAAATGTAAACAGCATTATTATTTATTATTAAAATTTCTACAAAATATCTGATAATTTGATGTGATATGTCTAATGACAATTTTTGTCCGCCAAATGGCGTTTTTTTACTTTTTTATTGAAACTCCAAAACCACTAAACCTGTCTTCTCAAAAATTTAATCAGTAATTCATTTTGTTATTACAAATAAAATATTTTTTGAATCATTCAAATCGGACACCTCGTTATCTCAAAAACTGAATTTCCATTTTTGGCATTTTTTGCCCCGTGCTTTGTCAAAACTAACCAGCATGTCTCCCATCAATTAGAATCGAATGGTTTTTTTAATCATTCAAATCGGTTGATCCGTGTTCACGAAATCGTCGACGTAAATTTGTATCCACACATACATACTATGTGTATGTATACATACACATACACACACAAGGTATGCCAAAATGTTCAGAAACCTTTGGAACGTAAAGATATATAAATTTTTTTTGATGATAATGATTTCAAAACTCTTTATTTATCTTAGATTTGTTTACATATTACAATAGTTGTATGTTACATATGATATTTTTTAATTGTACAACTGCCTTGCGGCATTATTACAATTTATTATGAGAATTTTATATATGTACTTAGGTCTATTCGCTTAAATTGATGCACTTATTTGGGTTAGTATGAAAATAGCTTAAAAAAACATACTTCATTGAGTTAATATATAAAAATTTTCATTATCGATTTTTTGCGATTACTGTAACCTACCCTACGGAAAGTTAATTATATATGCGCTATTTGGTAAAAAAATTTATTTAAAAAAATATGCAATTAAATTTGTTGCTGACATAAATATATATTATTTGAAATAGTTCAGTAGAGATAAAGGAAGTACGAAAGTTGTGTTTTTTCTACAAAAATATATACATTTATAGCCCAAATATGAAATATGAATATACAAAATTTTTAATCTTCATTTATACAAAGCTATAGAATTAAGTAATGGAAAATTAGTTATTTAAAACTAAATTTTTATTATATCAAAAAAATAGATATTATTTTTTGATCTAGCATAATAAATCTGAATTACTTTTCCATCCCTGATAACGAGCACATTATTTTTTACATGTATTGGTTCGTGTGACAATTTCATATCGTTATTTATTGTGCGACAGTAGTACTAAAGCCAGTTCGACATAATCGCTCGCGCTTTTCCAGCGTGAAAATGTTACTTGTAAAATATAAAAGGTTAAAGTAAAAAATCAGTATCGTTTCTTTACATTTAAGTTAAGAATTTCGTGTTTATCCAGTCAGTCGTGCGTTTTGTAATCATGCAAGTGATATTTTTTAAAATTGTGATAATGATGGTCTTTTGCGTACGCGTGTGCCTGCTGCAAAACACGACGGCGACTGTAAAATTCTGTAAGTAGAATCATGAATGATAATAAAAAGTGTTTTACGATACTTAATAATATTTTCAGATTTTATGCAAACAACTTCTTTGTAATTTTATACCTATTACTGTTTAAATGTATAAATCCTAAGATGTTGTGACCTATCAAACATGATTGGATTTATGTTCTGATTATTTAAGAGCAGGGGAGTCTAAGTATGGTTGTGCCAGGATATGGTAGTGACATTTGTCATAACAGCTAAACTATACTGATTTTGAGATAGGATCCAAAGGGTAAAAGATGAAATATGATTGTTCGAACAAGTTCCCATAACTGCGTTCAGTCAGTGCCTGACATTAACGTGAACTATTATTGCCTTTAAAGAGTCAAAAGTAAGTTTTTATATTCAAATTCTTTTAATAACAACTGTTAATTGTATACAGATAGATCACTTTGTTTATGATTTTTATGTAAGTTGAATTTTAGCAGTTATTTACCAGCAATTAGTTTTTGCTTAGATAGTTTAGCTCAATCATAATAATGATTTGTTTTCAAAAATGTGTGTTGTGTACGGTTGTGACAAATTTTGTGGGTACGATTGTGACACGGATTTCTTGGCCTTTGTAAGTGAAGATTAAGCAGATAAAAAAATCTAACTTAACTAAGATGAATTATGAAAGAGAAAAGAAAAAAAAACTCAATACAAGAAAAAAAAGATTTTGCAAAGAATTCATAAGCTTGTTTAAATGTTTATGTTTTGTTGTGTAACATATTATTGTTAGTTAATTAATTATAAATTTTTGGTGTTTATATCTATTTATATTTTTAAGTCTGTCCCAACCGTCCACACCCGACGGACACTCACCTTTCTCTTGTATGATTTGATTTTATAACCGACCCATCGTATTTAAGGATAGTATTTCAGTTTTTTTATGTGAACAAATGTTCAAATTATCATTTGATTTACTTTTATCCCAGCTCAATGGTAAATTAAGAAAATTATTGCTGATAAAAAAGTGGCCCAACCGTACCCAATCCGTTCTAATATTTTTTTAATAATTAGTTTACTAGTTGAATAATATAGAAGGCACAAAAATATTAAGTTTTTTACAGAATAGAAAGTTTTACATAGGATTTTTTTTAGATAGGACATATTTTAAGGGTTTTATTTTACCCTTAGGGTAAAGATTTCTCACAAATTAAAATAAAATCTAAAAATAAAAAGAAATATTATTCATGATAATTATATACTTTTTCCAAACAATTCAAATAAAATCCACACACTTTTTTCCTTTTTCTGACAAACTAATTTATTAGATCAGTTATATCTGATGATTCACTTTAGATTTTTTGAAGTTTTTACTTTTACGAAAAATATGGTAGGTTTTTATAAATTTTTACTTACCTAGCCTTACATGGCCCAAGGATCTAGTATAATTTATACAGAGGATATGGTGATAGATAGCCCATGTACTTTTATAAATTAATTATTGAATAGGCTCAGTTTTAGTTAGTTTTTGTCTACGGATTTTACTACTCAAGTTACTTTTCTATTTAATTTTATTGACCATCGCTAGACATTTTTGCTTGCATCGTTTAATACAATTTAATGCATATTGTTCAATTGTAGTAACTTGATATTAACATCTACCCAACGGAATAAATTTTTCAAAACAAGAAAAATGAGATATATATTTGATAAACATATTAAAATTGAGAATATAAAAATTTTCTCCACTATAATTTTCAGTCAAAATTAGGGATTTAAAAATAATTGAAGTTCTAAATTAATTTTAAATTAAAATACAATGTTTTTGCTTGCCAAACATCTTCAATTCATAGTAACAAATTTGGTCAGGAAAGAGCAATGCTACTCTAAATAAATTATTGTACATGTTTGGCAAATGTATAGGAAGTTCGGTGCATCTACCCTATTCCTTATATACTATGTAATTACATAAATACCCCTTTAAAGTATCAAGAATCGAACCTAGGACAGTTACGATTTTGATAGGTTGTTGCTAACTCGGCAAACAGATATTTAATTTGATACTTTAATTGAAATTACCTTTTGGTGGGAATTAAAACGTGTATTTAATTACAGGATCAATGAGTAAGCGCCAAAATTATATATTCAAGTAATGATAATCAATGGTGAATATATTTTAGGGCGAGTGAAATTACTGTCATATATAATTATTAATATTGGTCACTTAATGATTAGAAAGCAAGCTAATTTAATTTTGCATGTCTGCGAGATAATATTCACTTTTTTTGTCATATTTACAATTTGAATATATAAATTCTTAATGAGGGTTTAATTAATAGATATTTGCAACATGTGTAATGTATTATAAAATATGAACAATATTATTGAAAGATAGGATATAGAAGGTTGTGGAAGTGCGGGTCTTGAAGATATTTGCGAATCATCAATAAATGCAAATAAAATAAAATATTGAAAGGTAACTTAGAAATGTTTCTAACAATATACAATTTCTTAATTTTAATAAATAAAGGTAGTAAATATAAGCTAACAATTAGATAAAAACGTTAATTGGCGATGATATAATCTTTATTGTATTATATAACAAGAATTGTTTGAACGCACAAACAAATTATTGTGTTTTCCTTAACACCAAATTATCGTGAAAAATATTCAATAATTACATGACAATTATACATACAAATACATACAAATATTTTAATTTACTTTTATTTGAAAACCTAAAATACATAAAAGAATTAAATTGATATATTTTCCAAACTTGTATTCTATACAACGTAATAAATTATTACTTTATTAATAATTTTTTCGTTCGATTCTCAACGATAATATTTATCTAAAATCTTTAGTGTTGATTTTTTATACATGACCGTGGATGTCACATCTTGAATAATTAAGCTCTGTTGCCCACACATTGTAACTGTTTGAAAACATTATTTTATTGATTAGGCTCACAAAATATACACAATATGTGACAATATTATCTATTGACTAATAAACTTTGCTATGCCTTATGTTTGCAATCAACAAAAGGTTGGGACAATAGAATAGTTGACCCGGAGGAAGTTAAATCGATATATTAACTGACAAAAATTATAATTTTTGGTAATATATTTTTTTAGAATATTTAGTGATAAAGTGGCGGATTGAATCTTAATCAGTTTAAGCGTTGTACAATGTTTTAGATAAATTTTAGTTGAAGAACATTTCTTTTGTAATCCTTATAATATTAGTATCATACGTACATACAAAAAATATGATTATTATCATTAGATTATCTTTCGAGAGACATATTATTATTGTTGTATTACATATCGCAACAAAAAAAAAATTATTCAATTCTTAAAACAAAGTAATAATGATAATAAAAAAATACAAAAAGTACATTAAATTCTATTCAGCGATCATCAAGTTTTTACTTTTGTTTTTTCTTCTTTCTGACTTCTTTTTTTTACTTTTATTACTATCTTATTTAATTTTTCGCACTATTTTTTTACTTGTCTGTATCCATTTTGCAATTTTTCTATTTATTTTATTTTTTTTCATACTAGTATTATTTATTCATACTAACAGCGAGTAATCTTTAATAGTTTTAGAAAATGATAATATTTTTTCATCATTTTCATTTATCTGTTTTTCCTGTTTGCAAAATAATTTAGTTTAAAATAGACTTTCGATCTTGGTTGATGGATGATTGATTTTTTGCCAGGACGAATATTGTTCTGATACTACACCGACATTTTATACTAAAAACAGTATAGTGGTAGATTATTTTGCATTTCCCGATTATTTAATAACAGATTTTTTAATCAATGTGGATAATTTAACTAAATCCGAAATCAATACATATTAGGTTTATCTAATACATAATACAAATTAGGTTAGTCTATACACAACGTTAAAAATGTTATGACAAGGCCATATTATGAAGAACTTTCCATACTAAATATTGTAAAAGCCATGTGGTTGATGTGCAGTCAGGCGTATTTCTCAGGTTGTCAAATGTCAAAAAACGATCTTAGATAACAGGGTGCTTCTGACACTGCTTCATAATATATGAGTGATGTTGCTGCTTATGCGTAGAACGCCTGAATCCACAGCAAATACATGACATTTTGACAGTATTCAGTATGATTCAGTAGCCTAATGTATGGAAATTGGAGCCTTGCCATAACATTTTTCTGTTATGCGGCAGAATCTGTCTCTATATTTATATATTTTGAAATAATAAAAAATACCTACTAAATTTTTAGATTTCTAAATGACTAGCAAATAATATATTCGTGTATTTTGCAGTAATTTTGATTGAAGATATGCGAGATGAAGTCCCAGGGTGGATCGCAAGTTCTCTTAAACAGGCTGAAGAATCTCTGAACGGGCGATTACGTATTAACGACGAAACCGTAATTGTAATGAGAGATGGGGAAAAAGAAAGCATGGCTATGCGTAAGTTAATTTTATTTATTTTATTGATATGATTTTTATTATTTATTTTAATTATTTTGTTTTAATTAATGTAAATGTTTTGAACATTTATTTAAACTCCACTTTAATATTCTTTAGTTGCAATATAAAAAATTGTTTATTCTTGATGATAATTACTATATATTTAAACGAATAGTAAGATCTTTCTAAATTTTTTGAAATATGAAAATATAACGGAATATAATAATAGTATTACTAACTAAGATTATTGAAAAGTATATTCGTACTTCGGCCAATACTTTTGGCTAATTCTATGGGGCAATTCTACCGTGACAAGGCTCATAAAATAGCGTTGTCATGGCAACGCTCTCTTATGCTTGTTCTTGGTAGTGAATATTAAGCAAGGACGAATCTTCGATGATGCAGTTATCATAACATTCTCCCTGCTTTGTTCATATGTAAAATATGTCTGATTGCACAGCAAATAGATAGACATTTTCATAATTTTCAAAACCAATACCATGGCAACGCTATTTTATGATCACTGTTACGGCAGAATTGCCCAACTAATTATGTTGATCATTTCGATCAAAATCAATATGTTGGCCACACATTTAGAAGCAAAAGCGATACATATTTTAGATTTATTTTCTTTTGCATATAATTATTGTTAAGTCCAAATCAAAATTCATGAAAATATTACATTATTGTATAGCTATGTTATAAATGCACTATACACTGAATAACGTTTAAATAAGAGTTTAATTTGAAAAAAAAGAGCTAGGGCAGGGTGGGACACAAAGATCCAATTTGACTTTGAGCAAATTAAATATATAATTAAATATATAATAAATATATTGTTGAAACCAAACAAACAACTATTTGATTATGTTAAGTAAAAAGTCCAGCTTATTCACCATTTGTAGAAATGTGTTTTTGCTGTTTTTCAAAACTTTGTCACCTGGTCCTTTTCACTCCATACGCAGGGTAAAATGGGACAGCTAGGGGGCAAACAGGTCTAACGTTTTATTTTCAATTTTTAAGGAATTTTACGAAATAATAGCAACGTTATTCAACCGATGCAAACTATAAATTGCATGGGTGCATTTTTTACAGAGATGACACAGAGATGATATAACGTTGATTTGGTCAGAAAAATTCATCAGCAGAGTTGGAATAATTATTTATTTAATTTATCTCTTGCAGAATTGTTTTTTTTTAAACTTAATTTACATTTGATTTAGTATTCTATATTATTTACACCTTTGCCAGTGTAAAGGTTCAGTTGGTCTTTTTTAGCCCACCTACGTGTAAGTTTTTATGGAGGTTATATAAAAAAAGTTGAGTCTAACTTAGAATTAACAATACATCTTATAACACAATTAAATAATGTATACTTGAAAATTATATTAAGGTCTCGTATACTAAACAATAGTATACTAAATCTCGTATACCAAAAAAACTAGCAACGAAAGAAAATACTTTTGTTATGGACTTTTAAATCAATCCCGGTTATACATCTTTTACCATTAAATATTGTTGTTAAAATATTCTTAACTTTACTTGTTTTTGAGATATCGTTGTTAGACCTTTCTACCTTTGGACCTTTTACCCTGCTCTACCTTGCCACTCAGCTTCGGTTTAATTCACTATTATTTTAAATAAGATGTTTTATTTTCAAAGTATAATAAGGCTGATGATTATTATAATGATTTAATAATTATCTTATATTTCAATGATTAGTATGCGCAGCAATGGCGAAAGGAATCAGTTTAACATTAGATTTAACCTGGACGGGATGGCACCAAGCTCACGTGATGTCCGACCAGGCTGGTGTACCATATTACAGGGCTGATATATCATTACAGCCCTTTGTAAGAGTTCTTGACGATTATCTAATGGAAAGATCAGGGAGTGACGCTGCTCTAATATTTCAAGATGAAAGCGGTACGTCGAAAACCTATTTCATTTATTTCAATAAAAACGGTTTTTTATCCGATTCATTATTATAGAATTAAATCAAGGATTGTATTATTTGGTGTCGACATCTGTTCTACGAGTTATAGTTCTAGACAATTTAGACAAAGATTCAATTAGAAGTTTATTGAATATAAGGCCAACCCCATCGTATTATGCGATATTTGCTACTACGCCTAATATGATTAAATTATTTAAAACGGTATGTTAAGCTTGAATCATGTGTTATAAATTTTGATATTAATGCTGACTAGTATTTAATTAGGCCGTTGTAAGTGATGTAGCGAATAGACTGGATCGGTGGAATCTCGTTTTTTGGATTTTAAATCATCACAATTTGATTATAAAGATTTCTATAACATCAGTTTAATTACATTACAAAACCAAATATGCTGCAAATTACTTCATATTGAAGGTGATTGTACTTGTCCAGAAGATTTTAAGGTGAATATTATTGATATTAATGTCTATTGTCGATGTCATACATTCACATTACAGAATCAAGCATTTGATGAAGAATTGTGGGCTTTGATGAAGAAAGTTTTATTCGCAAATGAATGTCGGTTATCAATGACGGGTTCTTTTATTTTTTGTTAGTCAACATTTTATATACAGGTAACCTCCGTGTAACACGGTACTTTTATAACACGGATTCGCTCTAACACGGTTTCAGAATTGAGCAAAACCCTAATAAAATAAAAAATATAGTAAAATCTATTAAAATCAAACTTTATTTAATCTAAATTAGTAAAATCACAGTACAATAGCTTAATAAATGTGTGAAACTAACTCAAAAAATAACTAATATTTGATACTTATTATTCGAGTACGTTTTATAGATAAATTCTAGGCTTACCCGAACAATTAGTCAATTAGTGTTAAACAAAGATCTTTTAATTAAAATGAGCTTTAAATTTTATTGAAGTTAACTTTGCATGTGTTAATATATCTTTAAATATCCTAAATTTTTTTTTGCAAAAAATAATGCACAGATCTTAAGCTAGTACAAAAAACTGCTCAGAAGATGAGGATACCTTGCAAACAAAAGGATCGTGTTGGATAGCACTTACCAGTTAATTATGACAAAAAAAATCAAATAATTCAAGTAATATATATTACTTCTTGAATAAATTAATGTTCTTTTGAATTCTTGGTACGTAACTTCTCTTTTTGTACTAGTTCCTTGTCCCGTATAACACGCTACTTTTTCGGAAAGTAACTACTGTGTTTTGCGGGGGTTACCTGTATTTTATTATTTAAGGATCTGTTTTATATCATAAATCAGTTATTGCTTATCAGAATCAATACTGTCATTGGATACGCATACAGACAGTTTTAATATTTCTATTCGCATAATAATATTTGCACATTTTTTTTATTTTATATATTTATATATTTATATTATATATAATATTTTCTGGACATCTTCAAATATTTATTTTCCTATTTTATTATCAGATCCAGCGCGCCTTTCTCGGTCTTCTGTTTTCGGTACTAGCCCGAAGTATTTCAATGCTTCCAAATGGTGGAAGTGAACTTACAACCGTAATAACGTGCGACAATGTAGAAACAGGAGATGATTTTAAAAATAGCACCAGATATGAATTACTAGGAAAAGTAACAAGTGAAGTAAATGACGACATTGGCCTTGTCATGTACGGAGACCAATTTACTATTACTTATGAAATGATGTGGGATGTCAGTGTTGTCAACGAGACAGACGATCTTGATCCAATTGCCAATTGGACGCTGACTTATAATTTGAATATGCTGCCGGATAAACAGCTTATTTCGACTAAGAGATTTTTTCGAATAGGAACAGCCCAGGTAATAAAACCTATTTGAATAAATGCATTTAATGAAATCAATTCATTTCTTTCTTTGCTTTAGGCTATCCCGTGGGCCTACAGAGTGACCAATCCAGAGACTGGTGCAATAGTGAAAAATCCTGATGGCACCGATAAATGGGAAGGATATTGCATCGATCTTATTGAAAAACTATCGGTTGACATGAATTTGGATTATGAATTAGTTGTTCCGAA